CTTACTAATGCACTGGTGGTCAACTTACTCAAAGCTTCAATCAACATTTCAGTCTAATTCAGTAATAAATATTCACATCTTACAAGTGTTCTGTGGTTTAACACTTGTCAGTGCCTTTCCATGTTCTGTCGCACATTGATTTTACTGTTTAAAATTAATGATCGAAAAATTAACAGACCGAATGTCCATGCTTTGATACTGTTTTATACATCATATTTGGTCATTTGCTCTGCAAAATAAGGGTGTAAACTATATTTAGAAAACCAAATTTAGAGGCTTTATACTGAAACCACGAACAGAGATGCTTGAGTGTTTCATGGGTTTAAAAGCATTACTTTTTCACCCAAACTAGTTAAAGCCAAGCTGATTTCATTGGTTAACTCATTCCTGCAATCAGGTCATCTGGTAACACACTCTCTCTCTCCAGACTCATCACACAGTAATGCATACTAAGTGTAATACACCACTGTTTACTGTAGTTAGACTAAATTACACTACAGTGTTTATACATTCATTCATTCATTTTCCATTGTTTATCCCTTATTTATTAGACCACAGCGGAATGAACCGTCAACTATTCCAGCATACATTTGACACAACAGATGCCCTTCCAGCTGCAACCCAGTACTAGGAAACACCTAAACACACTCATTCACACACACACTCACACACTACGGCCAGTGTAGTTGATCAGTTCCCCTATAGCGCATGTGTTTGGACTGTGGGGGAAACCGGAGCACCCGGAGGAAACCCACGCCAACACGAGGAGAACATGCAAACTCCACACAGAAACACCAACTGACCCAACCAGAACTCGAACCATTGACCTTCTTGCTGTGAGGCCACAGTGCTAAAAATTGAGCCACCGTGCCGTATTTACAATATTTAATACAGGTTAATAGAGTTGAACTTTTAAGCTGACTTGAAATATGTGTGTCTGTGTGTGTGTAATTGTATTACATTGTGGGGACCAAATGTTTCCACACTAGTTAAGTGTGTCCTTGTGGAGACTTTTCTTTTTGTGTGTGGGTGGTTTGGGTTGGTTGTGTGGTATTTTTTGTGCATTTTAGGCCAAAAAATAAATAAATAGAAAGGAAGGTTAAGCCAATTTACCAGCCAGTTATTCATCAAAAACGAGAGAGATGTTAGAGTCTGTAGGTGTCTCACCGAGATACAGCAGGAACAGCTTAACTCACTGTCAGTGTTTAATAACTCACACTGACGTATGCAGTGTGGTGTGGGAGAAACCATCCCATCCCATCAAACAAACAAGGGAATATATTTACTTAATGAAATGCAGAAGTTCAGATGGTCAAAGTGGTAGCTGCTTAAGGAGAAATATGGACGAACAGCTGTGAGGAAAGGTCAGTGATGGGCTAGAACTTATTATTGCTAGAAGAGATACAGCTGCAGCTAATGACAATTAATTCATTCATTCATTTCAGCCTAGTCCCTTTATTAATCTGGGGTCGCCACAGCAGCATGAACCGCCAACTTATCCAGCACACCTTTTCAGCGGATGCCCTTTCAGCTGCAACCCATCTCTGGGACACACCCATACACTCATTCACTAATGACAATTTCAGCTTACGCAATTCACCTGTACCGCATGTGTTTGGACTGTGGGGGAAACTGGAGCAACCTGAGGAAACCCATGCAAATGAAGGGAGAACATGCAAACTCCACACAGAAACACCAACTGACCCAGCCAAGGCTCGAACCAGTGACCTTCTTGCTGTGAGGCGACAGCACTACCTACTGCGCCACTGCGTCTTAATGACAATTATTTCGATTATCTATGAATTTAGTCCATGAATTGAATTCTATAAAACACACCACCCAACCCTAAACCCAACTATCATAGTAGAAACTAATTATACAGAGCACTTTCATGTTGTTTATTAAGTTATCTATTAATTGTACTTTATTAGCATCTACCCCAACCTCAACCCTAATCCCAACCCAATGTAAAAACAGTAATTATAGAGAGTTTTATTCATATTATTTAATAAATTACCCATTTACTTGTATTTTATTACTCTAAACCTACTCCAACCCTTTACAGGAGTGAAAAAACGGTAATTACACAGAGAACTTTTCATATTATTTATTATCCATTTAATTTAATTAACATCTACCCCTACCCCAACCCTAAACCCAACCCTCACAGTAATGTAAAATGATGGGTTATTGTTCAACAATGTCACTAAATGTTTGCTATATTGATATGTGTCCACATATATACCGCTATAATACATCACTAAAGCTGTGAAGAGTGATTATCCATGTGGTGATTCAGGTCTTGCTCACCCACATGAAAACAGAAATAATAATAATTACTACAATAAATACTGCAGTGTTTGAGAACCACACTAAAACATGTGCTTGAATTAATCTGCTGAGGTGATTCTACAGTTGCTATGGTAACACAACAACTACAGTAATTGATCTGTTGTGGTGATTCTACAGTTGCTATGGTAACACAACAACTACAGTAATTGATCTGTTGGGGTGATTCTACAGTTGCTATGGTAACACCTCAACTACAATAATTGATCTGTTGGGGTGATTTTACAGTTGCTATGGTAACACAACAACTACAGTAAATTATCTGCTGTGGTGATTCTACAGTTGCTATGGTAACACCTCAACTACAGTAATTGATCTGTTGGGGTGATTCTACAGTTGCTATGGTAACACAACAACTACAGTAAATTATCTGCTGTGGTGATTCTACAGTTGTTATGGTAACACCTCAACTACAGTAATTGATCTGTTAGGGTGATTCTACAGTTGCTAACACAACAATAACAGTAATATAAACAAACTAACCAATCGTGTAGCTTTACACAACTATAGCTTGTATTATACTGCAATACACCACAGTTTACTGTAATATAATTAAGTATATCATTAACAAAGAGTATCAAATTAAATAATATAACAATTTATAATACACTTTTATTTACTATAAATTACAACAGTATTTTTAAATATAAGATTAACACTGACAGTTAATATTTTATGCAAATAAACACAAAATACAGAAGCTCTTCATTAACTGATACTTTAAACGATGTAGAGCAACTTTCATTTTGCGAGTTCTGTAAAGATTTCCATTAATATATCTGGAATATATAACTGGACAGCACAGGAATTTCCTACAGTAGTATATTTGGGAAGCTCTGGTTATGTAAATGCGCTCCTGAAATCCAGGTAAGCTACTGTTTCCTTCAGTATTTCTCCTATTCTGCGCTCTGCTTGATGATGAACGGCGGGTCACGACTTCAGAGGGTGAAATCGGTCTCAGATGTTTCAAAGTTAAAGAGCAGACGAGGAAAGAGTCCTGATCTAACATCTCCGGCAGCATCTTCAGACCAGGCTCAGACTAGATTAATGCAGGGAATGAATGACCTACAGGCTGCAGGCTGTTGTTGTAGTTAGGCACAGCCAGGTTGAAGCATCAATTCAAGATAAATTAAAGCAATATACTTAATTTATTTTTAATAAATGTGATTTTTTTAAACATCTGTTTTCCTGCTTGTTCAAACTACTTGTAAAAAATGAGCTGAAACAACACGATTTATTCCTTTATTAAAGCTAATTTTATAAAAAAGCTTTTAAAAAATTACTTTTAAGAAACATGCTAGCCGTGTGCTAATTCACACTAGAAACATGCTAGCAACATATTAATGTATACTCATTTTTAAATAAATTATATATATATATATATACATGGCAAGGCAGTGGCGCAGTAGGTAGTGCTGTCGCCTCACAGCAAGGAAGTTGCTGGGTCGCTGGTTTGAACCTCGGCTCAGTTGGCGTTTCTATGTGGAGTTTGCATGTTCTCCCTCCCCTTGCGTGGGTTTCCTCCGGGTGCTCCGGTTTCCCCCAAAGACGTGGTACAGGTGAATTGGTTAGGCTAAATTGTCCATAGTGTGTGTGTGTGTGGGTGTTTCCCAGAGATGGGTTGTGGCTGGAAGGGCATCTGCTGTGTAAAAACTTGCTGAATAAGTTGGCGGTTCATTCTGCTGTGGCGACCCCGGATTAATAAATGGACTAAGCCGACAAATAAATGAAGGATCAATGTATGAATATATATTTATACAAACTATTAGCAACATGAACTGTATCTATATCACATCTATAGCTCTATCAGGTTTAGACGTCAGCTTTACTTATCTTCTGCGACATGATCTAACGCCCAAATATTGAGATGTGTTTTTACTGGCAACCCAGTGCAGGAGTCGGTCATTTTATGGTCAATTATGGATGTAATGCAAGTTAAATTCAGCCGGAATGTAAATAAATGAATCTGTGTCGGCCACACAAGCAGCCATTGATTAAACCCTGTCAGTAAGATTCCCAGTACTGAATCACAACCTGACACGACTTGATCTCTTTATTTATTCTTAGCGCTCACGTTTGACTGTATCACTAGCCCAGGCCGTTCTTCAGGATTGTCTTTCTGTTTTCAGGATTAATTTCCCTGTGCGATCCGCAGCAAACAGGGATGTAATGTTCTACTTTGTGACTTCTGTGACCACTTTAATCTGACTTCACTTCTGTATTATAGTTATTCACATGCTAGCAAACATGAAAATTCACATTACAGATAATAAACAGAGTAAGCAGAATATGTGTGCTACTTGTGGGGCAGTAGTGGGCGGGGCTTTCCCCCTCTGATGACACGTTGAAAGGGAGATTGTCAATCAAAGTGTGTCTGCAGACTGCTGTTAGCAAGTCTGATTAGAACTAATACAATTCATTCATCTTACAGGCTGGATATATTCAGCCGCTCTGCTGTGTTTAAACCACTTCTAAAAGTGATTTTTGTGTAATAGGTCCTCTTTTAAAGTGCTTCTGCCTGCGCGCGTGCCGGTGTGTGATTTAATGGCATGCATATGTCAGCTGATGGAGCTGTATAGTCATTCTGCAGAGCTCCAGCGGGAGGTGTGTGTGATGCTGTAGGTGCTCACTATAAAACCCGCAGAGAAAACCGAGGGAAAGCCACTGATATATCAGATATATCTGCAGCAGTCCAACAACACAGAGGTGCGTCCACAGGGGAAGGAGAAAACAAGCAGCAGAATGTTACCTTTGACTGAAGCTGGATCTCTCTGCACAGCCTGGATTTTACACTGACCGTCTGTTTCTCTGAGATTATCTGGAATAACTGTGATGGCCAGGGTGTCATTCATACATCTGGGAGTTTTGCTTTTTATTGGACTAACAGTCGCGATGGCCAACGGTGGGTTCAGATTGCATTGCATTTTAGAAAAATGTGGACTAATATTACTTTTAATAACACACTTTTAAAGACATATTAAACAATTCCGAAACAGGCCTTGTCATATAGAGTATGCTTTAAAATGATTGAGGTGTTAGACTGTGATGCTTTATTTGGTAACACTTTACAATAAGGTTGTTTTAGTTAATGCATTTATTAAAATGAACAAACAATGAACAGCACATTTACTACAGTGTGCTTGTTAATGTTAGCTCAGTGCATTAACTCATGTGAACAAGCATGGATTTGCATCTTAATAAAGCATTAGTAAATGTTGAACTATGATGAATAAAAGCTCTGCAAGTATTGTTCATTATTAGTTCATGTTAGTAAACACATCCACTACTAAAACCTTATTGTAAAGCATGACCCAATACTCCTTTAATTGTAGGGGATATCAGAGATGCCGATTCCCGATATTGACAAACATACTATAGTAATCATCGTGTTTCTGAACCTATTATAAAAGCTTGACTTCATGTGTTGTAATTCTGCTGTTGCTACACAACAAATACAGTAATATACACAAATAAACCAATACTGCTCTTTTTTACTGTTCAACTATAATTATACAATAAACCACAATTTAATGCAGTAACATCTAAAGTATACTACAGTATTTATCAGATCACCAGTTAGCACTACAGTATGCTGGAGCATTCATTTAAAGAGTTATGAACACTACAGTATATGCAGTAAAATAAGCTTTACAATGATTCAAAAACACTTGTATTTACTCTGTAAACCACTTTAAAAAATACTATATATTTTACTATAAACTACTGTAGTATTTTATTCAGGTTGACGTGTTACTGTGCTCTGATTTAGTCATTTTTTGTAGGCTGTATTAACAGCATTAATCATCTTTTTAAGTGTTTTACTTATAGGATATGTCAAGTTCAGGCCAAAATCTAAAGCATTAACTAGTGGTAGAAGACAAAGAAATATTAATAGGCTAATTACAATAATAATAATAATAATAATAATAATAATAATAATAATAATAATAATAAACGTGAATAATCTTGCAAGTGATGAAAAAATGTCAGCCTCTTTGATAATATTGCAATGTTATGTACAGCAGCCTATATGACACTATTATTACCATACTTATGCATACTATATATATGTATACATATATATATATATGTATACATATATATATATATATATAACCCAAAGTGTAATAACCCAAAGCTGGTTCAATTGGATTAATTTATATTAAATAATTATATTAAATAATATTTTATTTATATTACGTGTTTTACCACAACATGCTCTCTTATGAAACACATTTTTTTCATTAAAAATATCCAATGTTGACCCCAAAGATGAACTATTAAAAGCCCAAATTTTTGTCAGATTTTCTGACTATCTGGCGTATCATTTGTCAGTAAACAGATATAGTGACATCCACAATTAATGATAGAAATGTGTCGCATTTATCATGACATTGTTGTGCTTCTGCTTTAGTGCTAGGCTAAATGATATCTGAAAATCCATTGTTCTAATCAAAGCATTGTTATATTCAGGATTTTCCTCGTTTCGTCCTGAAGCGCTCGTGAAAAGCAGCAGTAAGGATTTCCCCGGAGCCCCAAGCACAAGCGCAGCCCCTCCACATCAGTTTGAGGGTAAAAGCGGAGCCTGTTTGCTCTGCCAGCTCCTGAAACCCCACAGGAGAGACAAGAGATGCACGTGTTACTCCTATAAAGACAAGGAGTGCGTTTACTACTGTCACCTGGACATCATCTGGGTCAACACACCTGAGTAAGTTCATGAGCTGCACAGCAGATAATGACCAACATGTGCTGGAACCTGACACGGGCTTTACTGACTGAGAGGAGCTCTAGACAAGGCAGGGTTACTTCTGTTTTATACAGTGCTCAGCAGAAATACAGTTGAAGTGGATTATTCGCCCTCCAGTGATTTTTTTCTTCTTTAAATATTTCCCAGATGATGTTAAACAGATTGAGGAATTGTTCACAGTGTTTCCTCTAAATATTTGTTCTTCTGGAGAAAGTCTTATTTGTTTTGTTTCAGCTAGAATAAAAGCAGTTTTTAATAGTTTTAAAGCCATGTTAAGGGCAATATTATTAGCTCCTTCAGCAATATTAGATTTGGATTGTCTTTAGAACAAACCACTGTTATACAATGACTTGCCTAATGCCTCGGTCACACTAGAGTTTGAGCTGGTGTAATTCTGTCAAACGGCGCAGTGAAGAGGGGTCGGGTTAAACAAGATGGTTATACATTTTTTAAAAAAAGCAAGCGATTGGTCCACATTTTTGAATTTCTGTTCAGAGAGGTCATGTTTTAATCTCCGATTGGTTTCACAGAGTTGCATGAGCACGTGTTTCCAGATTGTCACATTCACATGCATATGAATGGAAGTCTATGGGGTGAAAAGTGCAGTGTGACCTGGGGTGAATTACCTTAACCTGCCTAATTACCCTAACCTGCCTAGTTGCCCTAATTACCCTAGTGAAGCCTTTAAATGTCACTTTAAGCTGTATAGAAGTGTCTTGAAGAATATCTAGTCTAATGTTATGTGCTGTCATCATGGTGAAAAGAAATCAGTTATCACAAATGAGTTATGAAAACTATTATGATTAGAATTGTGTCTGAAAAAAAAATCTTCTTTTCATTAGACAGACATTATGAAAAATATACAGAGGGGCTAATAATTCAGGAGGGCTAATAACACTTCAACTGTAGGCACACCCCATTTTGAAAATTAATATTTTTGTCTTTTTATTTTTTTATAAATATAGACAACATATTTTGGTGCATTTGTTTTTAAACACACATATTTATTAAGATAATATTTTAGTTATCTTTAGAAATAGAAAGACAATACATTTAAATTAAAACATTTTACAATTAAATAAAAAATAATAATAGATTTGTGTGTACTAATTTTTGGCCTGTTATTAAAAGTTATTTTGTTAAATAAGCTCTAGATTTGGCTTCAGTATTGACTAAACTAATGTGTATGCACAAATAATTTTGTAAAGCATCCTATAGAAAATACTGATTTAAAAGAGAGGTTTTGTGAGGGGTGCACTCGTATATGCTCAGCACTGTGTGTTTTTCTACAATAATGCCTCATGTGGAATCATGGCACTCTTTAAGGGAAGCCTGGGTCATGTCCGGTAAAAAACATTTGCTGGTTGAATAAAAGTAACTTCATGTCGTAATTGGCCAGGGGTATCAACAATTTTGGTTTGACTGTATTCTTTTTTATTTTAGTTTGAATGAACATAGAAGGGAACACATAATATACACAATAATGAACACACAAGGGCAAGAACAGAAAAGCAGTGCATACAATAATTAAATGAAAGACACAGTGAGGAGCAGTAAAGAGGAAATAAGGCATGACAAGGCTATCATATTCAGCTGTGAATAATAACAAATTATTTAAAAAAAATAAAAGCTTTAAAATATTGCATTTTTCCCACATTTTTACAATCAAATATCACATCCCTAAATCTAGTGCCTTATTTCTAACTTAAAATGAGTAAAACTGGGTTTTGTGCTGCCCATTTACTCAAATAATGAGTTGATTCACAATAAATAAAATAAAATATCATTATCTTTTCAGTTCAGTCCTTAAATTTAGTTAGAAATAATACTTTGTTAATTTCTTCCTCCCTACTAGGAGTTACTGTTTATTAAGTGACATTTTTAAGTGACATTCGGTGGTAAATAACAGCAGAATAATAGTGAATAAATGCAATAAATCTAATCAAATTAAATTGATTGTTCACCCAACTGACAAGTGTGCTAGAAATATGGCCAGTCTAAAACTAGTAATTCATAAACTCATAAATAAACAGTGCTTGAAATAATTTTCTCCACTTCAGCAATTATTATTTAATTCAGTGCATTACTTGATGTTTCTTTATATTTATTTGTGCAACTTTTTTAACAGTTTCTATAGAAACATGAATCTAAACTAGATTTAGTGCACGATGAAATGCCTATCATTGCCATATTATGCCTTTTGAGCTAGTTTCGGCTAATTTAATGATGACAGCAGCATTTGGTTTTCAGCTTAAAGGTACAGTTCACCCAATTCTGTCATCATTTACTCATCCTTCTCTCATCACAAACCTGTTTGAGTGTCTTTCTTCTGTTGAACATGAAGACAGATATACTGAAGGATGTCTAAAACACCTCAGTAGTATTTTTGTTCCTGATTTCGATGGCCGTGTTTTCCAACATTCTTCAGAATATCTTCTTTTGTGTTCAACCGAAGAAAAATAATCTCCACCATCCAATCCCGCGAACATCAGGAAACCATAACATTTGTGTGCAAATAAATCTAAATATTCATTCATTCATTTTCTTGTCGGCTTAGTCCCTTTATTAATCCATGGTCGCCACAGGGGAATGAACCGCCAACTTATCCAGCAAGTTTTTACGCAGCGGGTGCCCTTCCAGCCGCAACCCATCTCTGGGAAACAGCCACACTCACATACACACTCATACACTACGGACAATTTAGCCTACCCAATTCACCTGTACCGCATGTGTTTGGACTGTGGGGGAAACCGGAGCACCTGGAGGAAACCCACGTGAACGCAGAAAGAACATGCAAACTCCACACAGAAACACCAACTGAGCCAAGGTTCAAACCAGCGGCCCAGCGACCTTCTTGCTGTGAGGCGACAGCACTACCTACTACACCACTGTGTTGCCCTAAATCTAAATATGTGTCAATGAGATCAACATCTATAGCAATGCAATTAAAGAACAGCTCTTTTTAAAAGCCCCTTTGACTCAGCAGTTGTTAACATAACCTTTATATTCTTGCTTTAAATAAGCATTAATAATCTGAAGAATGGGTTTGCACTACTAAGAAGATGTTAAAGGTTTATTTGTGGAGCCATAAATGTCAATTGGAGACTTTTATCTTTGCGGCTATTCTTTATTCCACATGTAACATAAACATGACTGCAGGCTACTGGAAACGGATTAAAATCAACATTTGGGCGCTGAAATGTGCATCATATATTATAGCTGTAGGTGTGTATGATCGCTG